ACAAAAAACCTGCAGAAACAATTAATCCTTGGAGTCCGGCTTACATCTTCCGCCTAGTTTTTAAGCACAACACGGGCTCCATCATCCACTCATACATGTTAAAAGAATATCCATTTGCTTTACCTTTGATCCAGCTGAAAGCTCTGAGTTGGACCAGTTCAAACATCCTGTTAACTTCAAACTCTGCTTCTCTAAAAATCTTTCCGTTTCTTAATATCCATATAGACCATATGTAAGCTAACCAGACCACATCCCACCCTGCTCTCACTAATGATTCTTTAAAAACAGATTGGTGTTGCTCAAAAGTTTCTATGCAGGTATTGGGCATAACCGTTGATATCCCCCACCATTGCAAACATTTTTGCCACACCGAGCAAGAGACTCTGCAGTGAATAAACAAGTGGTTGCTGTCTTCTGTACTTTCCCCACATAATCCGCATAGCACTTGGTTAGGATCAATGATAATGCCCCTCCGAAATAAGTTTAGTTTAGTGGGAATTCTGTCTTGTAAGGCTTGCCAGGTGAAAGCACTGACCTTTGTTGGGACTCATCTGCTCCATATCCTTTTGAAAATCCATGCTTTCACGTTTCCACTGATGCTTGAGAGCACATTATATGCTGCTTTGACTACATACACACCCTCTTTATCATGCTTCCACTCCCATCGGTCTCTCTGCTCTTGCTCAGGTTTAGCGTTATCCAGTAAAGCCTGGAGCTCAAACCATTTGTCCTTCTCCCATTCAAACAGAGGTCTCCTCCACTGTACAGACCATTCCCAATTTCTGTCCCTCCATTTGCCCAATTTGCTGATTCTTTCTTCTTTCCCTGAGGACACCCGAAACAGTGAAGGAAATTGGTTAGCAAGAGTTTGGTTCCCAATCCAAACATCCTTCCAGAAACGCACAGTGTTCCCATCACCCATTTTGAGTTTGAAACCGTCGGAAAGCCATCCCCTTTTATTGTGCACAACATTGTCTAACTTGCAAATGTTTCTCCACCAACTGGATCCCTTATGACTATTTTCTTGAATCCACTCAAGCCAATGGCTGTCCACATTCCCATATTTTTCTTCAATGATCCTATGGAACGGACCGTCATTCCCGCTTGCTAATCTGCTCCACCACTTGCCCAACAAAGCAAGATTGAAGCTTCTTAACTCTTTAACTCCGAGACCACCTTCCTTTTTGCTTTTGCATACTTTATCCCAACAAACCCAGCTTGTTTTTCTCGTCCCTACAAAGCCGTTTAATATTTCCTTTAGTCCTGCATCTTTCATGTGCCTTACATTTTGGTCCATTAAATACCATCTTGTTCAATTAAGTCTCTGAAATACTAATTTTTAAGGTTTTATTAAATGGGTTTGGTCTCTCCCAAAAAAGAAATAAATTGACTTTCATATGTTAAGTCTCATTAATTATAATATTTGTAATTAATTTTGTATAAATTTTTATACTAATTAAATTCATACATATTTATAGATTTTGAAGACAAATATTATATATTCTTTTACTCTTACATTTTATATTTTATTTTAATTGAATTTGATATAATATAAAATTTTAAGTAAAATAATTATAAACACTGAATTTAATAAAACTTAACTTATATTCTAAGAATAAAGGTTAAAAGATTCCTTATTAAATTTCAATCAATTCCAAAATTCCAAATCAATAGATTTAATTTGAATTTGATTGGGTTGTGATTAAGTCTTTTTGAATAAAATAAAATTTTATTGACAGAAAATTTCATAATAACAGTAATGGTAAATAAACTAACGATTAATCAAATATCAAAAAATAGAGGAAGCAAGCTGTGAACATCAAATCTAAAATTAAAATGAAACTAAAACCCCAACTAGAAAGATCAATTGCTACTTCTATTTGCACGACCTAATATCTTAAATCTAAAAGCTTCATTACTAACATCCAAAAACAATCCTACTTGATCCCCCGGAGCAAGATTCCGGTTACGAAATAAACTCGTGCATCGCAAGGTATAGCTGTCTTGAGACCCTCTCTCGACATCTATGTGATACTTCACTTCCGCCTCTGTGTTGTCGTACAAAATACATGATCTGTCGCCAACCAGCAGAGAATTCGCCTTGGATAAAGTACAAGGTCTAAGTAGATCAAGCATTTCTTGTTCCGACAAGCTGAGCTTCCCCATGAAGACATCACTTGCAGTGATGCTTTTTCTGATGATCTGCCGCCATGGATCTACGCCAGAGGCCTGATGATGATCCAAGTCCCGTATTTCGATTAGGGTACGAGTCAGTCGGTACTGGACGTTGTGGGCTGCTGCTTCTTCTTCTTCTACCTTGGTGGGGAAAAAATTGTAGTAGAAAGTTTTTTTCATCATGTCTATATGTCTAGCTCTTAGTGCATCCGCGACAGAAATAAAAAATAAATGATATAAAGCTTGGAACCCTAGAATTTGGAATTTATATAAACGTCAATTTTTCTTTATTTCCATATAAAAATTTGGGCAGAAAAGGAAAAGTTGCCTGGGCTGCGAATTTTTTTTGTGTTACAAACGCATTAATGGGAGATTTCAGACAATCTGTAAAAGATTTTGGTTTGTCTTCAAATTTTAAAAGTGACTTATTTTTCCATGTTGAGTTAATTTTAAAATTTTTGAATAAAAAAGGAATAATACTCTTGATTGACCTGTCTACTTTAATGGTTTTGCCTTTTTTGTCTTAAAAATATTGTCTCTCTATGGGGAGAATCACCTTCGGATTTTTTTCCTAACTTAGCAGATTGAGTCAAGGGTAATGATATCATATGGGAACAACTTAATTAATTTTTATGTACAATTTTAAAATGTCATAAACTATGTATATATTAAGATTCTTAGTAAAAGGAAAAAAACTAATCATTAAATAGTATATATGTAAGGTTGTATATATGAAAAAATCACCTATCAAATCATTTCTATATAATTAATTGACAACTTTTTTCATAAATTTTTTCATACAAATCTCACATATTATTTAATGATTTGCTTTTTAACTCTATTAAGATTTGTTATATATAATATATATCAATTTTTT